GAACCTCTTTGTTCTTTTCCTCTTCTTATGCAGACCCACATGCTTTCAGAGTCCCTGGACCTCACTTCCTATTTCCCTGTAGGAACGTGGGATCATAGCTGCTCACTTTCTGCATCCAGCTCTCATGTGCATCCTGGGAATTGCCCTCAGGTTCTCATGCTCAGATGGCAAGCACTTTACCTAATAAGCCACGCCTCCCTTTCTGAGATTTTAAAAAGTTCAGGATTAAACAAGTGTGATGTGCACCTATAATCCCAGCACTCCGAGAGACTGAGACAGAATGCTGCATTTAAGGCCAGCCTTCATCGAAAAGCAAGACTAGTCTATAACTAAATGTTTAGGTGTGTAAGTTCTGTGCTTCATTTTAACTTGTTGCCTGAAGTTTATTGCATCAAACTTAAATATTGAAGCATGCCTTTTATTTTATTTACTTTTGTAAATGGGTGTTTTGTATGCACGTATGTCTGTGTACCATGTGCGTGCCTGGTGCCCTCGGAGGCCAGAAGAGAGAATCAGATCCCCTGGGACTGGCGTTACAGATAGTTGTGAGGCACCATGTGGGTGCTGGGAATTGAACCCAAGTCTTCAGAAGAGTAGCCAGTGCTCTTTAACTGCTGAACCATCTCTCCAGCCCCATTTTGAAGCATTTTATTATTGACATTAATAATTCCTTTTATTCCTCCAACCTTTAAAATTGAATAAATGGTAGTTGGTAAAATAATTATTGTTGTACTTTGTGTTTTTGTTTTTTGAAACAGGGTTTCTCTGTGTGGTTTTGGTGCCTTTCCTGGATCTCGCCCTGTAGACCAGGCTGGCCTCGAACTTTGTATTAAAGAAATTTATAATGTGTTTGTATGCAAAGTATTTATCCTTAAATACATCAAATGATAAATAATTTTATATTGTAATTCTTCAGGAAGAAGAGAGGCTCTATTTACTCTCTTCAAAATCATTTCTTTGTGACATTTACTTTTATAAAATAGCAAATTTTTATAAAATGGTGGCGCACGCCTTTAATCCCAGCACTTGGGAGGCAGAGCCAGGCGGATCTCTGTGAGTTCGAGGCCAGCCTGGTCTACCAAGTGAGTTCCAGGGAAGGCGCAAAGCTACACAGAGAAACCCTGTCTCGAAACCCCCCCCCCAAAAAAAATAGCATTTTACATTCACAAACATTTGTCTTTCCTAATGCACACAGTGTCAGGAAGCACTTAGGCAAGATGATGTTCTTTCTTAAATTACTACCCTGGTAGGCAAGCAGGAGGCTTCCTTGGGGAGTGTGTGACTGGTACAATGGCCCTGAGAAACAAGAAGGAGAGGTCTTCGGACAGTGATCACAACCTCTTAGCTCTCAGAGCTGCCTGTGTGTGGAAGGGATGTCTCCAGCACCTTTCCCATTGCTTCTGCTGTTCCGGTGTGAACCACCTCAGTGTGTCCTTGCAGTGTGACTTGAGGTTGAGGATGAGGAGACTCGGTAGTGATAAGGAAAAGTAGTCTGCTTAGCCATCCTCTTACTGCTCAACTACCTGCTGCAGAACTGCCAAAGAGGATGTGAATACGGAAAGTGTAGAAGTGAACCAGCGGCTGGGGAAAGGCAAGTCTAACAGGCAGAACGGGTCAAGTTGTCTCAATTCTCAAGAGAACAGAAGAGCGTGCTTCTAATTATAGCATAAAAGAATTTTTAAATGAGACAACAGCATACGTTATACAGAGGACTTTTCTAAGTCCTCAAAGGTGTGACTTAGAAGACTTAGCACACAGATGAGCAAGTGGAGGAGACACAACTGAAGACAGAGTAGAGGGGAAGTTGGAAGAAGGATTGAAAGAGCTGGCGGGCAGCAAGATGGTCTGGTGACTGAGTGCCCCTGTGCCAAGCCTCACACCTTGTTAGGGTCCCAGAACCTACCTGGTAGGAGAGAACCAACTCTAGCCAGTCATCTCTGACCTTCACATGTGTGCACGGCACACGTGCACACACACACATATACATACACACACACAATTAAAAAAAAAACAAAAAACACCTTGGACTTAAGACCAGTAGGGTGGTCACTAGGCAAAACAAGATGCTTACAGAAGAAAAGTAATCAGGCACTTTGGATGAGAAAGTAGTAAAGTCACACCTAGAAATTACTGCGGAAAGCGGCGTGCCTATACCTACGGAGAAGGTCCTCTTCTGACTATGGTTCGAACAGGATATTTGCAGCTATACAGGGAGCTGGAGGATGGGTCAGCTAAGCCCTTCATCGAGAAGATCTCTCAGTCAAGAATTCTCACCAGGAATTCCCAACAGAGACTTCAGTGCTGTGTCCTTTTTCCTAGACCAAACGAGAAACCAGCAGTTTTGGCCCGCAGACCTGAAGCGAGCTTACTTGGATAGATATTGTACTCGGATAGGTACTGTAGGGTGGTGAGGTGGCGACTCAGGCCTTTGTTCTTTGCACTCGTGCATGTACCTGCCTCTTAGTCAGGCGCGGGTTCTTGGGTTTTTTGGGTTGTCTTTTACTTTAGTGAGAGACACAACAGTGATTGCCTTTCCCCCTTCCGTTCCTCCCTCCCCTCTTACCCCCTTTTTTAGAAAGAATAAAGTTTATTAGTGGAGAGGGTAGGGCAGCGGGTCGTTGTGTCAGAGTCAGCAAGCATGCATGTGCACACCATGGTACACTTGCAGAGGCCAGTAGATGAGTTTCAGGAGTTGTTTCTTTCCTTCCACTGTGGGTTCCAGGGACAGAACTCAGTGTCAGTTCGTGGGCAAGTACTTGTACCCACCGGGCCATCTTATCAGGCCCCTATCTCCTGTTTTGTTGTTATTGTTTTAAGATAGGCTCTCTGGATGCAGCCCAGGCTGGCCTCAAACTCAAAACCTTTCTGTCTCAGGCACCTGGGTGCTGGGATTACAAACGTGTGCCATCCTGCCCAGCTGTTCTGGTCCTTTTTAGCAAGATGGCCATTGGGGGCCAGTGAGGTGGCTTCAGGTCAAAGGTCCTTGATGCCCATCCTGACAACCTGAGTTCAATCCCTAGGACCCACATGGTAGGAGGAGAGAGAACTGATGCCTACAAGTTTTCTTTGGGTCTTCACATGAGCTGTGGCAGGCACACTCATGCTCTCGCACATGCCCACACAAGAAAAGTTAATTTTAAAAATTGATAGCCACTTATGCCCTATTCTATATCCTTTAATTCATTGGGAGTTGTCAAATAGTGATATCCTGTTTTTGTGTATTTCCCATCTTATGTGCCTTTTTTCTTTTACACTCTCTTTAAAGACTTTATTTTATAACTATTCATTTTTTTCTTAAGCCTATGCACATTGTCAAACACACTGTAACCTGTTTTGAGGTTTGTCCATAACTAGGGTGCTTTCATTTCATCATCTGACTCTGGTTAGAATATCTGGGTTACTCAGTGATGTAGATGTAATTCTGAAAGGTCTTAGGAAATAAGAAACACAGAGCCAAATACAGAGTTAAAAGCCCAGAGATCGAGCAGCAGCCAAGAGCTAAGACCGCCTTCTGACCCCTCGCTGCCACTGTCCTTCTTCCCCTGAGAAAGAGACCTTTTTCCTGTGTGTCTGTATTTTTATTGACTTTTTGTTGTGCCTTCTCATTGGTTGTAAACCCAACCACATGACCTCCTCATCACTGCCTGTCTATGCAGACCTCCAGGTCTCTATGGTTGGTATTGAGATTAAAAGCATGTGTCTCCAAGCTGGCTGTGTCCTTGAACACACAGACTGCCTGCCAGGTGATCGGATTAAGGGCGTGTGCTACCACTGCCAGACTCCTGCTAAATAGCTTGCTCTTAGCTCTGACCCCCCAGGCAACTTTATTAACATACAAATAAAATCACATTTCAGCACAAATAAAATATCAGCATACAGTGATATCTTCATACAGGAAAGACAAGACAAATGGGTGATTCTTCTTATCAGTTCATAAGCTAATGAATTAGTTTTCTGTCTCTTTGAGGAATGTATCATATTATACATGTGATTGAATATGCATGATAGATTTCATTCATTGAAATTACTCTTTTGAAAAAAGTTTTTAAAAAAATTTTAGGCTTGGCAGTGCTGGCATATACCTTTAATCCCAGCACTCGGGAGGCAGAGGCAGGTGGATCTCTGTGAGTTTGAGGCCAGCCTGGTCTACAGATCAAGTTCCAGGACAGCTATACAGAGAAAAACCCTGTCTTGAAAAACCGTTTTCTCTTTTTTCTTTAACGTATATGCATGTGTGCATATGTGCCGCCTGCCTACAGAGACCAGAAGAGGGCATTTGATCCCCTCAAGCTGGAGTTAGAGGCAGTTGTGATCTGTCCACTGTGGGTTCTAGAAACCGAATTCTGGTGGTCCTCTACAAAGGTGGCAAGCGTTCTTAACTGCTGAGCCATTTCTCTAGACCCTCAAGGACTGTTTTTATTGAGGTTCAGGTTGTGTCATGGGCAGCAAAGAAGGTTCCTGAGTCTCTTAACAAAGGACTTTGACTGGCTGAGGAGATGGCTTAGAGGATAAAAGGTACCCATTGCCCAGACCTGACAAGCTGATCTCCAAGTCCCAAGGTGGAAGGAGAGAACCTCCATGCATGTGAGCATAGTCTCTTTCTCTCTCTCTCCCTCCCTTCCTCTCCCTCCCCCCCCCCCATACCTACTTGGGAAGGTGGATTTTTGGGGAGAGATCCATTTGTTTCTGATGATATTTGAAATTTAGTGATACAACTTTGATAAAATGAGTGGCCAATGTCTTAGAATTGTATTACTTACAAAGAATAATGATTTTATTTTTAGTGTATGTGGAAAGTAAAAAGGAAACATTTCCCAGCAACAGTTTAAAAGTGTATGTTTAATGGTTTACCCAGCAAGTTAATAAATATTTTAAAGTTTATGTTGAACCAGTTTCCACAATAAGAATTCTGGAGAATTCCAGTTATTATAAAGCATACTAGCGAATTTCATTAAAACAAGTTCCAAATAATTGTTTTAAGCTTTTCTATTTTCTTTCAGACCTGTCACGAAATCGCCTCTCAGAAATTCCTGTGGAAACATGTCACTTTGTTTCTCTGGAAAGTCTTAACCTATACCAGAATTGTATTCGGTATATCCCAGAGGCCATTCTCAACTTACAAGCTCTGACGTTCTTGAATATTAGGTAAGAATAGTATTCCATTAGAAAAAGTGGTTTATACGATCTTAAATTCCCTCCTCTCTGACACTAAAATATTTAGTTATTTATGTTACCTGTTCACACCAGCAGTTTCTGATATGTTCTTTGGCTATAATAACGGTTTCTCCCACGTTTCTCTTGTTTCTCCCTTTATTTTTAGCTTTGCATAACTAACAGATCCTACTAGCCATTAGCTTAATAGGCTTGTAGACGTCTTGCAGCCATGATCCTCCAGTTCCATTTTAAATTAGCTTCTAGTAAATACTAGATCTGATAGACTGGGATACAGTTCCACTGGGAGAGCACTAGCCTGGTGTGCACAAAGCTCTAGATTCAGTTCTCAGCAAAACACACACACAGCATTGGTATTTTTATTGTGTGTGTGCATAACGTGGAGTGCTTGGGTATGTGTTATATATAATGCATGCACAGAGGCAAAGGGCAACTTAGTGGAGTCATTTCTCTATTTCCACTTTTATGTGGGTTCTAGAGACTGAATTCAGGTTACCATGCTTGTAGGAAGTGCCTTTACCCACTGAGCTATCTCGTTGGACCTTGGAAATGTTTTTCTAGTAAATATTTTGTTGCCCAGTTTATATACCTTAAAAGAAAATTCCATCACTGAGGCTAGAGAGATGACTTAGTAGTTAAAAGCATATACTGCTCTTTTGGAGAACTTGAGTTCAGTTCCTTACATCCTAGGCAGGCAGCTCACAACTGCTTGTAATTGCAGGTCCAAGGGAATCTGATACCCTCTTCTAGCCTCTTTAGGTGTGTACTCAATGTGCATAAACCCCCTCTCTCTCACACACACACATATGTGTTTAAAAAAAAATTAAAAATAAAAGTAAAGCCATAAAAAGTAGAATCCATCCCTTCAGATATTTAGTTCTAGCAGTTTTAAAAACCATGTTAACTTTTTCTTTTCATAATAAGCATGTGTAGGAGTAGAATTATTAAATTAAAATAATTAAAAAATTTTTAAAGGTCCGTGAACTGTATTAATCAACAAAAAGATCTTGAAAGTGGGGAAAGACTTGGCCCTAGAAGAATTATTATGGGGTTAAATTTACATAGTAAACTTTTAATTTGTTTTTATACTAATGATAGATGTACTTTATTAATGTTTCTGATTTTTATTTTTTTTTAATAAACAAAAATTCCTGTTATCTGTTTAAATTTAGTCAGCTGGGAACTGATTAAACTGACAGGAACTCAAATTTAGTAGCCTGTTTGTCCCTTGTAAGACTTACTTTTGTATCTAAAATGACAAAGATGGAAACTTTTTCGTCGCCGTCGTAGTCGTTGACGGTGTCTGACTGCTCTTTCTCTCCTGACTCATTTATTTAGTCGGAACCAGCTGTCAACATTGCCAGTACACTTGTGTAACCTACCGTTGAAAGTCTTAATTGCTAGTAATAACAAATTGGTCTCACTTCCTGAAGAAATTGGACATCTCAGACATTTGACGGAACTTGTAAGTTAACATTTTATTTTTTGATTGTCCAACATATCTGCAGTCTTCTATATGATAAAAATTGGATATTAAGATTGTTTTTAAAATAATTTTATAGCGTTGGCTTGACATATAGTTAAGAAAGACTTCAATGTACAAGTCTTAACATCTCCACACAAAATGGGGAAATGTCATTGGTTATTTTCTGACCAGCATTAAATGATTCCTGTGTTACTAAACTTTTGAGACGTAAGTTAATAATGTAGTTGAGTTTTCAAATTAAAATTTTAATATCATCAATGTTTTTATGATTTTTCTTAGCCTTTATCGGTGTATGGGCACTCCAAAAGTTAGTCTTTGTTTTTTATTTGTTTGTTTGTTTGTTTGTTTACCATGCCCTTGGAATAGTACCCAATTATATATTTTCTAAGATGTATTAAACTTCACCTACTATTATTTGTGAATATACAAGAAACCATCTCTTAAGTATTTATGTTTTAAGTTAGTTTAAGAGTCAGCCTAGCCATGTGGTGGTGGCCCACGCCTTTAATCCTAGCGGGTGTGTGTGTGTGTGTGTGTGTGTGTGTGTGTGTGTGTGTGTGTGTGTGTGTGTGTGTGCAGAGGCAGGTGGATCTCTGTGAGTTTGAGGCCAGCCTGGTCAACAGAGCAAGTTCCAAGACAGTCAGAACTATACAGAGAAACCCTGTCTTGAAAAACCAAAAAAAAAAAAAAAAGGAATCAGAATGTTTATATCCCCACAATCATATTATGAGCTAGATTCTAATATTGTCTGCTATTATAGCTGAGGAAACCAGTACTCAGATGATGTAGTCTGCTGGAGGTTGTGTAACCAACCACGTGATCGGGAATCAGCCTGCTTGAACTAAAGCCTGTTTCATAGTGCATGAAATAATCAAATGCAACTGTGTCCATTGATATTTAGAAATTCAGTTTTTGTGTGTGGTTTATTGATAAAGATGGTTGTAAACAGAAAAATACAGCATAAATCTAGTTGGACAAATTAGATTACCTTGGTGGGGGGACTTAAATATAACAGGTTTATATGTTAAAAATTTATGGACTAAAATCTAGAGTTGAGGTTTTAGGCTACTGTTTTTGAACTATGTAGAACTTGAAAATATTCAAATTGTATGTTTTGGGATATTCTTTAGAACTTGGCTTGTTAGTATGAAGTAGACATAACTTATACTCTTAAGTTCTTTTGTTTATTTTTTCCATGATAGATTAATTTTTATTTAAAATGTTTTTCATACAATATAGTTTGATCATATTCTTTTTTTACTTCCTTTTTTTTCCTTTTCTTTGCTGAGAAAAGGTCTTACTTTGTAGCCTATGCTGGCCTTGAACTCAGTCTCCCTACCTTAGTTTCCCAAATTTTTATCGTCAGATCATTTAAACTTTTAAATACTTCTTTAATCCTAGGTGTGCAACAGATAGAGACATGTCTGAAATGCTGCTTTTAGTTTTCTGCAGAAGGTGCTGACAGATACCCTCCTGCCTCCATCATTCAGGGAACTTGGCAGCGGAAGGATGACTTCAGAGCTGCTCATTTCCTGGTGGTCTTTTTACTGCACCCTTCTCTCCTTCCTTCCCACCCTCATTTCTGGGTGGAAGTAGATGACTTTCTGTCGGCACAGGTGTTTTCTGAGAGATACATCCCAGATGACTAAGACCTTGACCTCAGACTCACTTTCCTTGCCTTTTCAACTTCTTTTACTACCCTTTTTAAATTTTACTGCTTAGAGCACTGGACTTAACAGTCTAAGTTTTTAGTCTACTTCAGTCACTAATGAATAGAAAAGGTGACAATTATGTTCTTTCTCTTTTGAGAAGAACAAAATCATGTCTGGGGCCAGCAGGTAAGAGTGTGTGCAGCCAAGCCTGACAACCTGAGTCTGACCCCTGAGGCCCATATGGTAGACAGAGAAAACTAAATCCCACAGACTGTCCTCTAGCCTCCACACATAACAGTTTCCTCCCCTACTTCCTCTGATCCACAAATAAATAATAAATGTAGTAAGTTTTAAAGCTGTCAAAAGCTATTGAGGTTTATAATAAGCAGCCTGGCTTTATAAGTAGTGTATGGATTATCTTTTTTCACGAATGTGTTGGAGGACTTTTAAGTATGCATGTACAGGTTGGGCTTCCTCCTGCTACACATGATTATGGTTTTAAACTCTGGCTGGCCTCAAAATCACAGAATTCTGAATTTATTAATCTTGGGAGCTGTAGCTAGTCACTTTTTTCAGACCCATTGGAATTAAGCTCTTACCATCAGGCTTCGGTATCCTGTGTATTAGACTCAGACAGACTGGATAATACAGCCTGTTTTTCCATAGCCTTTGAGTTGTGTGCACTTTATTATTTCTCTTTATATTCACTGGAGAAAAATTAGAGTCATTGTCTACACTTTAATTTTATATTCTTGAACAGTCAAACTGATATTTTGAAAAATGAGGGCTTTTCTGTGAAATAATTTTCATTTAATTTTTATCATTGTTTTATTTTTATATTTTAATTAAAACAGTATAAAATAAAATATGCGGACCAGGCGGTGGTAGCGCACGCCTTTAATCCCAGCACTTGGCCAAGAGGCAGAGGCAGGTGGATCTCTGTGAGTTCAAGGCCAGCTTGGTCTACAGATAGCTACACAGAGAAACCCTATCTCAAAATACCAAAACTGGCTAGGCGGTGGTGGCACACGCCTTTGATCCCAGCACTCGGGAGGCAGAGCCAGGCGGATCTCTGTGAGTTCGAGGCCAGCCTGGTCTACAGAGCGAGATCCAGGAAAGGCACAAAGCTACACAGAGAAACTCTGTCTCGAAAAAAAAAAAAAAAAAAAAAAAAAAAAAAAAAAAAAAAACCACCCCAAAAACGAAATAAAATAAAATATACCATTTTTTTTTTGCTTTACCTTTTCACCAACATTTTCATTGGATCTGATAGTCTAGGTCTTCTTTTTATATCTTAAGCCATATCATTTTAATTTTAGAATTTTTCTATAAATATATAAAATATAAAGAATTACTCAAAGGCTATAATTAAAATAAGTGAGAGTACAAACTGTGAATTATTCTTAGATACAGGATGATAATATATATATTATAAAAATACATATATTTTTACTACCAGGAAGGAATGTAGGTATTATCTTGCCTAATATCATTTTGTAAGTATTTTAAAGCAGGCAAGTTTGTGATTAGAATAATCATACCTTTGTACTCTTTTGAAATAGGATGTGAGCTGCAATGAAATTCAAACTGTACCTTCCCAAATTGGTAATCTGGAAGCCTTGAGAGATTTTAATGTAAGAAGAAATCATCTAATACGCTTGCCTGAAGGTAAGAAACTATGAAATAATTGTTTTGTTGATATTTGTCTTTTCATTTTAAAGATCTCTCAGACTGATGGGCCCAAGTCAATAGTGTGTATGAGTTCGAGCCAGTGTTTGAGATCTGATGGCTTTTAGCATCACCTACTAGATTATGCACTTTAGAAAACTGTTTAGAGCTGGGCCTCATGGCATGGACCTATTACCTCAGCTACTCAGGAAGCTAAGACAGGAAGGTCACAGCATGAGCAACTGGGTGAAGAAACCCTGTCTGAAAGTCAAAATTAAAGGGAGGAGAGTACGAGTCTCAGGCCAGCCTGGGCAATACAGGAGGACCCTGTCTCCAGAAAGAGAGAGAGAAGGGAGAGAGAGAGACTCAAAGAGGCTTGGGGATATAGCTCAGTGGGAGAGCCCTTGGCTAGCACAGTCAAGGCTGGAGGTCCAGTCCTCAATACCAGCAAAGTGACAACAAAAACTTGAGAGAAAAGTTTCAGTGACTCTTGCTCAGTGATTCCGGTTTGGTCCTTCAGGGCAGTGTCATTGTGAGTTTAACTAAACACCACCATGGGCAGAAATGTAGTATGCTTGATAGTCTAGTATGATGCAAAGCATTTCTTCAGTTAACCCTGATTTATAAATGAATTTTGAAAATTAAATAAGATCAATGGAGTTTGCGTTGAACTTAATTTTATTCATTACTAGAAAAGTTCAAGCAAGGTCTAATTAAACATGTTTAGGTGATATGCAATATCTAATGATGAGGTAGGTTCTCTTAGGTTGACTATAAATTCTGACATACAGAATTGAATGACAGAAATGATTAAACAAATTAAACTTTATTAAGTGCTCACAAATACAAATCTATGAAAGAAAAGGCTGCAAATGAAAATGAGAACTATTTTCAATTAAATTCAGACATACTTATTTAATTTAGTTATGGAAAATTTCTTACATAAATGAACTTCCATGTTCCTGTCACATGGTGCTATAGTGGTCAGCTCATGGTGGTTTTTATTTCACACACACATTTATCCTCTCACCTCCATTTCTCCACCCTAATCCTCTAGACTAATTCAAAGCAAATTCTAGAAATTCTAATTCATGAACATTTCAGAATGTATATTTAAATAAGTCAATCTTCTGTGATGGCATATGCCTGTAACCTCAGCCCTGGGGAGGTAGAGAGAGAAGGATCATGAGTATGAGGCCTTCCTTGACTATAGAGAGGCCTTATCTCAAGACTAAAGAAAAAAAACAGCAACAACAGAAAGAAAATCTTCAGGAATATTTTCATAACAATGATCTAGGTTCTATAAGATATGGCAGAATTTATACTAAATGTTAACTAGTGATATTTTTGCTTTTACTATAAAGTCCAAACATTATTGCAGTTTGATATAGTGAAATACTTAGTTCTTACATACATTTGACATTTTGGATCTGAAGTAAACACATTAGAAAATTATTTTCTCAGTTCACCTTTATACACTGATCACTCCACGATACCCGGCATTATGTTCTCACTGAACTTGTCGGGTAGCCTTCACATGGACAGTTTGCCTTCAGGCCTTTCCTCCATTGTCTGGTGGCATTTGCCACCAAGTCAGGGTGGGAACAGACGCTCCCAGTAAAACAAGAATTGTGACCTATGTCTTAATAACCCAACACATTCCCCGCCCCCTTCGTCAAGGACTGAGAATTGAACACAGAGCCTGGTGCATGTTAGCAAGATGCTGTTATTAAGCTGTGCTGCCACTTTTTATCATGTTCTTTTCATTTTGAAACGGAGCCCAACTTGGCCTTGGCTGTCTTCAAATTTTCTGTCCCCTGTCTTAACTCCTAAGTAGCTGGGATATCTACCAACTCACTTACAATGCCAGATCCAAAATTCTCCAAAAGTAAAGGGCCATCTGTAAGGATTCTGTCCTTATTACGTCATCAGCCTGCAATGGCGTCCCACCCAACATGCCCTCCCACGTGTGTTTTCTCCATATTTTCTCTGTACTGCCCCTCCGCACGGTCTCTCTGTCTCTGTCTCTCCCCCTCCTCTCCCCCCTTCTCCTTCCTCCTAATAAAGCTCTAAAAAGCTAACCATGGCTCCTGATTCTTCTGCCACCGCAGCATCCAGTGCTCTCTTCCGCCACCTCGGCTGCTGCTGTAGCGGCCGCCGCTATACCCCTTCACCATCACTGTATTCAGGGCCTACTCACCATCTTCTAGCTTTTTCATGGAGGAAGACTACTGGTGAAAATATTGATGTTCGGGTTTTTTTTTTTTCTTTTTCTTTTTCTTTTTTTCAGTTTTTCCAGACAGGGTTTCTCTGCGTAGCTTTGCGCCTTTCCTGGAACTCACTCTGTAGACCAGGCTGGCCTCAAACTCACAGAGATCCGCCTGGCTCTGCCTCCCCAGTGCTGGGATTAAAGGTGTGCGCCACCACCGCCCAGCTGATGTTTGGGATTTTTTTTTATATATTTTTAGGTTTTTTTCCCCAGAGGTAGAGGTAGACTCTCGCAGTGTAGCCTAGGCTAGCCACAATTTCACAATCCTCCAGTCTCAGCCTTATGAGTGCGGATGGCAAGTTGGTGTCACCATACCTGGCAACATTGAGGTTTTGGTGAAATTTGGAGTTTTCAAATGACAAGCACAGTGTAATGGTTTTATCATCTATTTTATCTCTACTATAAATGGTTGGAAATAGAAATTACACAGCTGTAAATGTTTAATTTCATGGTTTGTAATCAACATGTTAACTAGCTTGAAATGACAGGAAGTTTATTTGAGCATTAACTAGTAATCTATGACATTGTATTTTGGTTGGTAACGTATCTTTTGTTACATTGCCATTTTCACTTTCAAATTAATTTTAACTAAGTAATTATCATTCAAAAGATATTTAAAAGCTTAAAATAATTACTATTCCTTTTCCTCACCTTCTCCCTAAGTCCAAGTTTCAGTGCCCAGGGGCATTTTCATTAGCTCTGTTGGCTAGTTCATCTCGTATTTCTTAACTGTTTTTAAATGGTGGTTTGGGGAGGGAGGTTGGTTGGTTTGTCTGTTTTTGAGACCTGGTGTTGGTATATAGTTGTGGCTAGCCTGGAACTCACGCCGTGATAGCCCAGGCTGGTTGCACTCTGCTGGCATTCTGCTGCCTCAGCCTCCTGGGTGCTATGCTTGCAGGTGCTGCACCCATCTGAGATGCTGTTCAGACCTGGTAGCTGAAAGTATGATGCCCTCTCTAATCCCATTCCTCTGTGAGCAGCCTTTTCAGTCCGGAAGACTGTAAGATTTTCCCTTTTTCCTGGTCACTGACCTGTGAGGATGCTGCCATGGTGTGGGCTGACTCGGTATGCCGTTCACTTAGGGACACTCTCTTCAGACTTATGTCTTGAGAGTTTATTTGGTGTGTCCAAACCACACCAAATAAACTCTTTGGTTTACCTTCTCCCCCGTTTTCTTACATTTACTTTTTTGGGGATGTGTGTGCGTGCGCCGCAGTGCCAGTGTGTGGTCAGAGACAACTTGGTTCATTCCTCTGTCACGTGGATTCCAGGTCCAGCTCTTCAGACTTGGCAGCAGGCTCCTTTGGTTTTAAGACAGTCTCCCTATGCTCGCCTGTAACCCTGGCTGTCCTGGAGCTCTGTGCAAACCAAGCTGGCCTCTGACTCTCAAGTGCTCCCATGTGCTACCATACTTGCTTATTCAGTCATCTTGCTGGCCTTGCTCTCTTTTTAAAATTTTTTTCTGGTTTTTCTCTTCCTTTTTTTTCTAATTGAATGTTGTATCTAAATCTTTGATCCTTTGACTTTTCTTATTACTTTCTTCACTATTTTGTGCTACCCTGGAGTAAATAGTTCTTGAGTTTTTTTAAACCTTTGTTTTAGATTTATTTATTTTATTTTATATTCATTGGTGTTTTGTCTGTGTGTGAGTGTTATATCCCCTGGAACTAGAGTTACACATAGGTGAGCTGCCATATGGGTACCCAGAATTGAACCCAGGTCCTCTGGAAGAGCAGTCAGTGCTCTCAACCACTGAGCCATCTCTCCAGCCCCCATTCTTGAATTTTTAATTTCAAAAATTCATTCAAATTTTTTGTTTCTACCATCATATGTAGAATACTTGTTGTTATGTGACTTTTTAGAAAAAAAAATTTAAGTAATTCCATGTCATATTTTTAGAAATCAAAGACATTCTAGTTTTTCAGATTTCCTTCTGTTCCTATGTTCTTCTTACTTTCTTTTTTTCTTTTATTAGTTAATTTTTCTTTCAGTCTTACATGTTGTTGGAAACCTCTCAGTTTCTGTGGGTCATATGTAATCTGTACACATCATCATAGAAGTTCTGAATACATTGGGCAGAAATTGTTGAAAGATAATTAAGCAAGAGGCTATATATTTTAATGAGGAAAACTCCATGTCAGTATTTGTCTTAGTTAGGATTTCTGTTGTTGTGACCATGGTGACTCTTCTAAAGAAAAACATTTCATTGGGGCTGGCATACAGTTTCAGCAGTTTAGTCTATTGTTATGTCATGGCAGCATGCAGGTAGACATGGTGCTGGAGAGGCAGCTCAGAGTTCTGCATCTGAGTCATCAGGCAGCAGGAAGGGAAAGTCACATCAGGCCTGGCTTCAAAAGCCCGCCAGTGACACCCTTCCTCCCACAAGGCCACACCTCTTCACAGTGCCATTCCCTATGAGCCTGTGGGGCCATTTTCTTTCAAACCACCACAGTGTCCTAAGACCTTTTATATGAGACTGTGTAGTTTCTCCAGAGAGAGGTGTGGCTGGCATCTCTTCTGTGTGGTTGCATGTATTTGTAATTACTGGCATTCAGGAGTGGGGTAGACAGGGTAGGTGGTCAAGGTGGGCTTGGCATTAGTGTGTTTACTTTTGCATCCTCTATTTTCAACTGCCAACACGTGCTCACTTCCCAATGAGGTTCGCTCTCTAAATGTAGAGAGTAACTTTCTGGCTTCTGTGATGTGAGTGCCCAGCTGAGTGACTTAGGACTGAGGACACACTTGAGCTGTTTATAGAAACCTCCATCTAACTCCTTTGTTAGCCTTCTTTTTTCTCTTTCTGGTTGGTGTCCAGCTTCTGAGAACTAAGTAGTCCTGGGAACAAGGAGGGGGTCAAACTACTTGATTTTTGGTAGTTTGCCTATCTCTAAGGAGTCAGATTTTATTTTATGTTTTGTCAGTCACTGGGAATAGAGGTAAATGATCTTTGAATCCACTACATTTAACTGGAAGTACTTGCAAAAATATCAGTGATCGTTCCATTTTACCTCCATGCAGAGCTGGCAGAGGTGCCACTGATCCGACTAGACTTCTCGTGCAATAAAGTCACAGCGATCCCGGTGTGTTACCGGTACCTCAGGCACCTCCAGGTCATCACCCTAGAAAACAACCCGCTGCAGTCACCTCCTGCGCAGGTGAGCATGGGGGCTCTGCGGAAAGGGATGACTGCGGGAAAGGCCTCTTCAGAGAGAGCCTCTGTGTGTCGTGACCCACCCAGTGCCCTCCTTAGCAAGCATTTCCTTCACTAGTTTGGCACTTCTGTGTGTCTGTTTGTTCATGTGTGCACCATAGGGTGACCGTCGGTGTCTTCCTCAATCGTTCCCCTCCTTACTATTTTGTTTGTTAGTAGTGGAGACAGAATCTCTCCCTGAACTTGAAGCTCACCAATTCAGCTAGCCTGGCCAGCCAGCAAGCCCCAAGACCCTCCTGTCTCCACCTCCCCAATGCATGGTGCACACTGCCGTGCCCAGCCTTTATGTGGATACTGAAGATCCAGACTCAGGTCCTCATGCTTGCATAGGAGCAAGCGTTTTCCTGACTGAGCTTTCTCCCCAGTCCTTAGGCACTTTAAGTTGAAGAATTCCTCAAAAACTAGTTTTCTAATAAAATTTTAGGGTGTTTTTTTTTTGTAATTTTCTCCTATTAAAGCTTGAATTGGAATATATAAATGCCATAAACAACAATCTTTCCAAACTCAAAATTATCAATGTATTCTTGTTAACATTGTTTCTGTGCCTTCCTGTTTCCTGAAATGGTAAGTTTCTCATCTAGCCAGTTGGTTCATTTGTTTCTCAGTGACTGAAATGAAAATAATAACCATAAGGTAGCTTATAGCCTATAATCTATAGAATATTTGCCAAACCCATAATTTTCACTTTGAAGTTTCTTAAAGTTTTTTTTTTTCCCCACAGTATCTGTGCACATGTGTTCCAATGTGTAGAATTCAGAGGACAGTTTCTTGGAGTTGGTTACCTCTCTACTGTTATGTGGGTTCCAGGGATCAAAGCTTGTATCACCAGCAGTGGCAGCAAGTACTTCTACCTAAGACTGTCTCTGCAGCCCTCACTTTGCAGTTTTCTTAAATGACTTTGTATAAGCTTGTGACAGTCATTATAGAATCTGTAAAAGTTATATGTGAACTTTATAGCTACAAAAAGGTTTGTGTTAGTCGGTTTTGAATCGGAGAAGTAAGTTAAAAGAAGGAAGGCTCCTGGCTTCAGAGGGTGTAGCCCATGGTCAGTTGGCTGTTGCCTGTGGTGAGATAGAGTCATGGCAACAGGAGCATGTGGTAGAGGAAGCCACTCACCTCACAACAGCCAGGGACAGGGACTGAGAGGAAGGAAGGCTTCTGGGCTGGATGCCCCCCTTCAAAAGCATCCCCCAGTCCTGTCTTCCTACAGCCAAGCCGCCTGCTGCTGGACCTCTTCGCCACCAAGTCATCAGGCCTCAATTCATTGATCATCCATTCACCTGAAAAGCCCATCAGCTAACAATTAAGATTTTGACACATGAGCCTTTGGGAGACATTTTTAGACTCCAATTATAAAGACTTTCATCAGCCTAAAGAATTTGTTTGACTCATGAGACAAGTCACAACAAAATTATATATGTATAAATTTCTCCATTTTATCATTTCTAGTTCTTTCCTACAGAGATCTGCATTTAAAATGTACTTGTACATGATTAATTAATACCTAGAGAGAAATCTTGAAAGTCTTGAATGTGTATAACAGATTAGTGTATTAAATGTACTTGGTATGTAACAGTGTTTATAATCATAAATTACTTGTGTTACTGAAACTTTCTAGTAACTAAAAGACAAAACCCTTAAATAAACACTGAATCATTAATTTTTTAAATAATGCACTATATATTTATAGAGATACCTTAAAAACCCAATTTATGTTACACAAAGAGCTAGTTATGATTTTTTTAAAAAAAGAACACCATGGGTCTGAAGAGGTAGCTCAGCAGTTAAGAATACTGACTGTTTTTCCAGGGACCTAGAACCACATGGCTACTCACAACTGTTTGTAACTCTAGTTCAGGGGGATCTAATATCCTCTTCTGGCCTCTGTGGGCACCATGCATGTACATGATACACAGACATGTATGCAGGCAAAACATTCATATACATAAAATAATATTTTTTAAAAGGACATCTATATTTCAGATGAATAGTAATTTGGCTGCATTTGTTATTTGATTTAGATATGTATAAAAGGCAAAATCCACATATTTAAATACCTGAACATACAAGCCTGTAAGATTGCTCCAGATCTGCCAGATTTTGAAAGGAGACCCTTGGGATTTGGCTCGTGGTAAGTATGTTTCATGCTTTTGTCATAGTGCATCACAGGGAAAATCAAACAAACTTTATTCTTAAATTGCCTGAAGTGTTTGCCTGAAGGGAAGTAACACTCTTATCCTCAGAATGCTTGTATCAAACATGAATCCCTTACACAAAGCCTACAAAGTGTGGTTCTAAGTCAGTCTCTTACAAATGGGGCACTGTTGAAATTGTAGGACAGGCAGTTCTTGGTCAGGGGAGGCTCTTCCCCACTGTGTGGATGGTTAGCAACATCCTGGCCCCCACCTCCTAGGTACCAATAACACATTGAAGTGTTTCCAGAAAGTCAAATATTGCCGGTATCCCTGGCAAGCCCCCTTGAAGTTTGCTGGTTTGAGTGGATTGAGTACTAGCCTTAGCTCTGCTACTTAAAAGATTCCTTACTTACAGCAAGTCATTTGGATACTTTGCTTCATTTTCCTTTGTGAGTGTGAAGAACTTGGATGTTCACATCACTTTGAGATCTTTTTAGTCTGTGAAGCCCTTAGCTACATACCACATGCCATGTAAGCTGTGGAACAATCTGAAGTGTAGGGATTGAATTAAAAAGCCCTCAGAAAGGCACGATAGATATCCCAGTAAAGATGTTGCGATGCTCATGGATTCTACTCGACAGAGAAGCTCTCAGGCCTTTGTTTAGGACCTGTCAGCTTTTGCTAAACCCACAGTCCACATGGGCTTGTGTTGTAATTTTCTAGCCTAAAATAGATCAACAAATGCCCATGTAGTTTCTAAAAACACACGTAGCCAGGCATTGCTATGCTATATTAAATATGTATCACGTTCAGAAAGGGCAATTTATTATAGTTTTTTATTAGAAATTATTAAAATGAAACATTAAGTGTTTTACAAAGGAGCAATCTGAAGCTCTCTGAAAACTTCACTTACATGTAACAGGATTTCTTGGGGAAATAGCGTGTTCCTCCACAGGGATTTCACTCCTACCCTTTGCTGCAGATTCTGCCAGCCTTGTGGTATTTGGTGTACATAGCAATTACTCAGGAAATAGTTATTGAATGAAAGAAAAGATGATTTGTTTTTTACCCCTGGGGCTGAGGATTGAACCCAGGGCCTTGCGCTTGCTAGGCAAGCACTCTACCACTGAGCTAAATTCACAACCCCAAGAAAAGCTGATTTAATCAGACAAATGCCCGCTTTCCTCCACATAAAATCATCAGAAAGATCTTTGCAGTGACATTCTAGGGTGCTTAGTCTGTCTGCTAGATTGAAGACTTGGCCGCTGTGAAGTTTCTGAACAGCAGCTCTAGCCTAGTTGCTTAAGCATAAACTAGTACAGCAAAGAAAAAGAGAGTCATGCTGTAACCATCCTACCGATGACAGACAAAGGGTGCTAAGACATGCAGGTGAGCTTTGGGCAGGCAGTAGAGACCGAGTGTGATGTACTGTGCTACGTGGAGGCCTCTCGGAGGAGGAGGAGGAGGAGGAGGAGGAGGAGGAGGATTTTAGCAGTGAAGAATGTGAAATGATTCAGATTCTTATTGCCAAGCATTTTCATTTTGCCATTTATTGTTTTCTTTCTCCTTGCTTTTTTTCCCCAGCTCAGTTAATTGCTCATAATATGGAAATGCTTGTTAGGTGTGGAAGAAAGCCTTGATTTTCCTTTTTTTTTTTTTTCATTAAAAATGTTTTATACGATCCTTTTAAAGATGTACAACAAAGTTGGCTTTTCTTTTGAGTATACACAATTGATTTTCCCTGATGGAGCCATTGACTCTTAGAAGGAAAACTTTCCTCTCTTAAAAGGCAGAGTAGGAGCAAGAAATTGCTACTGCTGCTTTTGAGGTTTGAATGTAAGCTGGCTAATGAGGGTGAATGCAGGTCTGTGTTTGAGGAGCCGCCTGAGGAGGTCTCGGTAATGATGGTGCACTTGGATTGAGGGCTGATGTACTATTTGCAGAACCTGTTTCTCTGTGACCTGTTCCTTAGCTCTGAGACAGGCCTAATTTATTTTTGTAAATATTATAGTACTTACGTTATCTTAAATACATAATGAAATACATAAAATATTAAATTACCTGGCAAAGGACTTGAGTGCATGCTTTCATAGATAAAAGGTTTGAATTTATGAAAAAAATGTTCTTTCAGGTTTCTAAGTAAATGGGAAACCTAAGTAGCATAAAGATGTCATTTCTCTCTAAAGAATTAGAAGTTATAGAAGTAATGCATTACAGTCCCTATCATAATCTCTAGTTATGGTCACTAAGTAGTCTATTTTTTATATTTTCCATTTTTTCAGAGACAAACTATTTTTTCAGAACATTCTAGAAATGTTAATTTGATACAATTATGTAGATATAGCTGGCCCTCTGTTTCCGTGAATTCAACCAAGTGCAGATGGAAAGTATGCAGGGGAAAAAACCTGTGCTAAACAACCTTGTCATTCTTCCTTGTCATTATTCCCTAAACAATGCAGCATGGCTTCTATATTACATTATGAATAATCTAAGACAGTTTAAAGCACATGGGCAGAGGATCAGTAGGTCTGGTGACATGTGTCTATAGTTCCACCCCCCTCAAAAGGCTTCAGCACAAGAATGGCTGGACTTACCTTAGACAACCCTGTCTCAAAAGACAGACAGACAGACAATAATAACACCAAAACCCCTGCTGAGTGTGGTGGTACATTCCTGTATTCCTAGCACTTGGGAAGACCATCCTCAGCTACATAGGGAATTCAAGACCCTTAGCAGCAACAACAAAAGTAGGGTATCCATAGACTTCATGGAAATGCTTTCACATTTTACATGTTAGCATTTTAGTCTCCCTAGATTTGGGTGTCTGTGGAGAATCCAGGAACTAGTTCCCCCTGAATATTGAAGGAAGGCTTTATATATAATATTCCATTTAGCTCCTCAAGTACCAGGGAATGAAATGTTGTACCTTCCTGTTTTTCTTTCAGAAGTATAGATGAATAGAATTGTGTTATAGTTCCTGGTGTATTTGTTCAAAGTGTAGGATGGAGTTAGAGGCTCTTGGTTCTGAGTTTCTGTCTTCTTAGGGTACTAAGCTGTTTAACCTCTCTAAACTTCCATTTTCAGTATAATCTTTATACTGTTTATACTCTAGCAGTAGTTCTAAATATCAAATATCCTGAATCTGAAAGCTGTTTACGTGACCATAAAACCTATGTAAATATTAGAGAAAGATTAATTTAGATAGACTCCAGATCTGAAGAATCCCTTACTCTTTGAATATTCAGTACAAACTACACAGGCTAGTACTTTCAGTTCTTAGATTTAGCCATCATCTTTTGATGTTGGGTTTTTGTTTTGTTTCTTAAGAATGTGTCTTACTGTGTAGCCTTGGCTGGCCTGGGATTCAATCTGTAGACCAGGCTGGCTTTGAACTCAGTTCTGCCTGCCTCTGCCTCCTGAGTGCTGGATTTAAAGGTGTGCACCATCATGCCTGATCAGATTTAACCATCCTAATGTTTGTATATCATTTTTTAAAAAAGACCTGTAAATTCAGAATAGTGGCACTTACCATAATCCTAGCACTTGGAGGCAGGCAGAGGGATCCTGAGCCTGATGAGGAGCAAGACCCTGTTTTAAGCAGTTAAGGCATGGGGGTAATGGCCAAAGCACATGATAAAATTAATTGTATAAAAATGTCTTTGTGAAATAAATCACCGTGTGAAATTAATATAAAAATTCATGTTTAATTAAAAAAACAATACTACCACAAAACCCAACACGGGTAGAAACTCCTAGAAATCAATTTATAAAAATTAAAAGTCTTTATTCCTTTCCAGATAAAAATGTTTCCATCTCATTTGGTAAACTGCATCATTATTACCTTTGCTTTATTTAGTGGCATCATGGTTTTTATTGGTGATTGATAGAGACATGCTTTTTTTTTTTTTAAATGGTTTTTCAAGGCAGAACTTCTCTGTGTAGCTCTGGCTGTCCTGGAACTCCCTCTGTAGACTAGGCTCGTCTCAAATTCAGAGATCCCCTTACTTCTCTCTGCCTCCCAAGAACTGAAGTGCTAGGATTGAAGACATTCTTCACCATGACAGGCTTACTTTTTGATAAGATAATTTTAAGCAGCTTTATGTTATTGACTAAACATATTTATTTTTGTTGATGTGAGAACAAACCAAAACTAAGGAAATACTAAGTCACTGACTGATAAGAAAAATCCAGCCATGGGGCTGGAGAGATGCTCAGTGGTTAGGAGTACTAGCTGCTCCTCCAGAAGACCTGGGTTTAATTCCTAGCACCCACATGGCAGCTCACAACTGTCTGTGACTCCAGTTCCAGGGGATCCAACACCCTCACACAGACATACATGCAGGCAAAAACAACAATGCACATAAAATATAAGTAAATAAGAAAAAAAAATCTGCATCCTAGCAGCCAGGAGACTCAAAACAGAGGAGGGTCATGAGTTCAAGGTCATCCCTGAACTCCAGAGTGAGCCTCTGAAATCAAAAAAGAAAGACCTGCCTCTATAACGCCACCCACTGAATCAATTTTGTTCAACAAGCCTGATCTTTTAAAAGCAAGTGACCATTCTTTATTCATGCTTAATATTCTTAGCACCTAGAACAAACACCATGTGACATTCAGTCAGTGCTAGATGCACAAATTCAATTGAAATAGATGGAGTGACTTTTAACAAGAAATGCTTTCTTGCTCTCTTTTAAGTGCACATTCTTACTGAAGTGATGACTTATTTGATGGTTTGTTCAAGGCTCTGTACAATCTTAGGGTTGTATTCTTAGACTAAGAAACTACACTATAAACCTCACTGTACTGTACCACTTCATCATCTTGCTATAGAGAAGTTACCAGTTACCAGTGTATTCGAAGCTACTTTGGGGCTAGTTTGTTAAGGAGACAGCTTTATGGGTAAAGATAGAATATGACGAAACGCAGCCTGGAGGCCAGGTAGATTTCAGAAGAACACTTGAGTTTAGCTGTCCTAGTATGTGCCTGTAATCCCAGCCCTTGAGAGATGGAGACAGAAGGATCAGGAATTAATGGCTACCTTGGGCTGAATGAAATCCTTTTTCAAAAACAAAAAACCCAATCACCATTTATTTGTGCAATTTAAAGTTGCTTTTCACCTAGGAAGATTTATTAAATAAAATACTGGTAGACTAATTTTGTAAAATAGGATTTGTTAGTTTTTAGATTCCTAATTAAGTTACATTATTAAAGGTATGTTTAAGAAGAAGCAAAAAATAAAGCTATAAAATTCCTGAAAAAATCTCTCTGGGTCTGGGAGGATTTAGATCCCCAGCACTATATAAAAGCCTGGGCATGGCAACACACATCTTACCCCAGCATGTGGAGACAGGGACAGGTGGATCCTTACCGGCTTACCGGCCAGCCATCCTAGCCAACTCAGGGAACTCCAGGGACAGTAAAAGACAGCACTCAAAAAATAAGTGAGCAGCGATTGCGGAAGACACTGATGCTGACCTCTGCCTCCGTGTGCACATGCACCCCTCACACCTACACAGAAGAGCGTCCTGCTGATCAGAGACAGGGGCAGCTCTAAAAGAAAAAATAAGTTAGACTTCATCAAAATTAAGAGCAGCTCTCCATGCAAAGAAAATGCTAGCTATGGCTTGGAGAAAATATTCGTAAAGCCTATGAATGAAAGTCGCCCTTCATCCAGATAGACACTGAACACCTGCAACTTAGTGATCAACAGCCCAATGAGAAATGAGCTTGAAGAGACTTATCACAAAGAGATGTATATGGTCAGTACACACACGACAAAGTACTCAACATCATTGCTAATCACAGAGTGCAAATGAAGCCACTGAATGTCCACAGGAATGCCTGCTTTGAAGAGAGGTGACCGTACCGATTGCTGGTGAGGATGTGGACACCAGGGTGCTCGGACCCTGACAGAAATGTGGGAAGAAGGGTGCCTCCAGTGCGTTAGCAGTTCTGCTGGGACAGGCGTTACAAACAGTAACTCTGCCAGGTGCAGCGAGTCAGTTCTGTGTGCTTGGGAAACTAGCTAGAGGCATTCAGTCGCCAGCTCAGCCGCCAGCTCAGCCACCAGCACAGCCTTTCCATTTCTCTCCTGTCCCTCAACGCTAGTTCTTTTCTTCCACCCCAAGACCCAGCAGACAACTAATTGCCTCTGCCAATGTTTTGCCTCTTCTAGGATTTCATGGGAGTGGAGGTGATGTGTGGCATCTTGCTCTGACTATGCTTAGCCAAAGCCCTGAGAGTCTTTGATGTTTGTATGTATCCTTAGAATCTGTTATTCAGTTTCCACACTAATGTAAGGCTTAAAAATAAAATAAAATAACCAAAAAAAAACAAAACATAAAGCCGGGCGGTGGTAGCGCACGCCTTTAATCCCAGCACTCGGGAGGCAGAGCCAGGTGGATCTCTGTGAGTTCGAGGCCAGCCTGGGCTACCAAGTGAGTTCCAGGAGAGGCACAAAGCTACACAGAGAAACCCTGTCTTGAAAAACCAAAATAAATAAATAAATAAATAAAATAAAATAAAAACCTCAGAGCAGTGTTTGTCCCTAACAGCAATAACAAGATAACGATAAGAATTAGCTACAGAGAGGTGTGTGGGAACTTGCTGACAAAACAGAAATATCCTCTGATACTGCTAGAATTACAGAGATATAGCATTTTATAAACATTATACTGCTAATATTTAAATGTATCTAAATTTTATTTGGAAAAATATTATTAAAGGTAAAAAACAAGCCAGGTGTTGTGGTGCCCACCTTTAATCCCAGCACTCAGGAGGCAGCAGCAGGTGGATCTCTGTGTTCTAGGCCATTCTGGTCTATATAGTGAGCCCAGGACAGCCAGGGCTACATAGTGAGACTCTGTCTCAAAAAAGCACAAAATAAAATAAGTAAAATTTAAAATATAAAAACAATGAGGGATGTAGAGAATGGCTGTAGGTACAAGGGAAACAAGAATTTCAGAATAGCAGAGATGTCTGTAAGACAGCAGACTAGTGGCCCTCTCTGTGTGACTGGTAGAGAAAGAGCTTTGGAAATCCACAGAGGAAGTGAAAAATCCCAGGAAAAGGCCAGTAGGTCCTTGCAGAGAGCAGTGGGGGTGGGGAGAGGAATCAGAAGAGATTCTGGAGATCGTGCTGTTAAGAGTAAGCTGCCCAGCCTGGACAGATGGCTCAGCCCATAAAGACACTGGCCACCAAGTTTGATTGCTTGAGTTCAGTCCCTGGAGAGCACATGATGGAGAGAACCATCTGATTCTAATGTAGTTGTTAAACATATGTACCAGAGTTAGGGGCAAAACAAAAACAGTAGACTGATAGATATAAAAAGTTGTGTAGATCCTGGTGCAGTCACAGTTGGGGTTGCAGCTCCTCGCTCATCTTCAGGTAGGTCATCCAGATTAGGTCAACAAAGTGGGCTGGCAGAAGGAGCAGAAGCATGAATTCCCGAGTCCAACCCCTGGACTCGTGGTGGAGAGAACTAGCTCCCACAGGTTGTCTTCTGATCACACCATGCACAGAGTCGACAAAGAAAGTTGAGCATTAAACTACGTCATGCATGAAACGTCTTTAACCAAAATATAGAGGACGTTCTGGCAGAGATACAGGAGCTGTGTTCTTTGTACAGTGGAGCCTTCTCAGAAGCAGACCAGTCTAGACCACAAGTGAATCTTACCATATGTGAAGGGTCTAAATCGTATCAGATTATAGTGCAGTGAAACTAGAAATCAGTAGCAGAAAGAAAAGAATACAGTTCTGAAAAATTATAGAAATCATATAAATGCAAGGAGACAGGACAGTATACTCATTGAAGAAAGTTTTAAAAATCCTAGAATCAAATTAAATGAAGCACAATTTACCAGAACCCTTTGGATGTGACTAAGGAGAATTTATAGCTAGGAGTGCCCACATTTAAAAATTCAGATCCAAATAGCCTAGTGATGCACCCCAGGGTTCTAGAAACATTGCTAGCAGTCCAAGCCCCGAAGCATAGGACAGAAAGACGTGGTCAAGATGGAGGCAGAAGCTAATGAATTGTGTACCAAAGAACAACACATAGACTTGAGAAGACGGTTGGTTGTTTGATAACCCAAGAGAAAGGGAAGGGAGACAGAGATTAGAGATGAAGAAAGGGAGGTGACCACAGAGTCCAAAAATCACTGGTGTATACTTGAAAACATGTTCCAACAACATGGAAAGTAATTCCTGGACACGTGTGACTCACCAAAATTAGATTAAGATAGCACAGACAACTTAGGGCAATAGCAGTCAGTGAAGATGGAAGCTGTAATCACGTCTCCAACAAGGGAGGTCCAGGACCAGATTCACTGGTGATTTTACCAAACCTGTAAAGAGGAGTTAGCACCAGTGCCCTCCAGCTGTGGCACTGACCGGGAGGAACACTGCCAAACTCACCCGTGAAGCCAGGTTACTCTAGTGCCAAAACCAGATGAGGAGGATGTGTTCATTTGTGTAGGACCCGCATTTGCATGAGTGTGTGTGTGTGCGCGTGTGTGTGTGTGTGTGTGTGTGTGTGTGTGTGTGTGTGTGTGTGTGCCTGTGTGCAAGCTAGCAAGGGAATCATGGGAGTGGAGAGAGATGTTAAGGGACATGAAAATGCAGTAGAACAGTTGTGATGATGAGGCAGAGAGGGGTTGATGGGGAGGGGACAGCTGGGAGGGGGACAGAGGGTGTGAACAGATGAAGACGGTGTGACGGCAGTGCCGTGAGATGAAATCCAGTGCTTTGTAAGCTGACGGTAGAGACGCCGCCAGCACAGGGAGCAGAGTAGGGCAGCGGTACTTCTCAAGCCGGATTCTGAGTGCGGGCGGGCTGCTCATCCTGGTCTGTTGTTGCCTTTGTTCCTGTTTGGAATTTTCTTGTTAAAAAGCTCAGAGAACGCTCACTTAGCTCTAATATTTATGTGACTGAGTGTCATGAAATGTTTGCTAATAACGTTGTGACTGGCTAATTTCAAATGCTAATTTTGAAATATGCAGCCTCACAGTAACAAGTCACACTTCTTTTGGACAGCCATGAAGAACTGTACTCGGGTCGTCCTTACGGAGCCCTTGACTCGGGCTTCAATAGCGTGGATAGTGGGGACAAGAGGTGGTCAGGAAATGAGGTGAGTGCTCTTCTCTTCATATGCTCAAACTCCTGCTGTAGAACAATCAATTTTAACTAATGGGAATTTCTAAGTTGGAATTTAGCTTATTACATAAAATAGAGAAATGCCAAAGAAAGGACAAAAACCTTACTACAAAGTTCTACCATCTGAGAATTCTACTCTGTTTCATCTCACGTATGAACATTCTGAAAAGCTGAATAGGAGTTGAGGTGGTGGTTAAAACTGAAACCTAATTGGCTTTTAGGAAGCTGAGTCAGGAGGACCACGGATTTGAAGACAGCCTGACCTGTGTAGTAAGTTCCAGGCAGCTTGCACTGAATAGCGAGTCCGTGTCTCAAACAAAGCAATAAAAACCGTGACAAGTAGAACTTGGTGGACTGATGATCTGGAGCGGAGGTGGTGGTAGGAGGGGCACTGGAAGCCGGGAAAGAAAGAGGACTGTGAACCGAATTTCAAATGTTAGCTCACTGGTGGAGCTCTTCCCTAGCAACCGGCAAGGCCCGGCTTCAGTCCTGCAGAAGGTGGATCATTGCAGTGAGTTCATTCACATGCCCCCAAATACATGGGGCTTTTGTTTGTTTGTTTTGATTAACTAATAGTATTATATTTTCTGTCATTTAAAGTGACTAGATTATAGTTTAGCTACAAATTAAATGACTACACTTTTGCTAGAGGGGCTGGTAGCAGACATTTTGTAACTTTGCCTCATTAAGAAGCCTGGTGCAGAAGCACATGCCTTGAATGCCTTTAGTCCCAGCTCTCAGGAAGAAGTGGCAGGTGGATCTCTGTGAGTTCCAGGCCAGCCAGGGCTGTACAGTGAGACCCTGTCAAACTTAAAACAGTAAATAAATCAAATAATAAGTAAATCAAAACATTGTAATTAGATCACAACTTATAATTTGTAGTTAATATATATATGTAAGTATGTCTTGGTGACTGTGTTAATGAATATTGCAATGTACATATATGTGGACAATTTAAAACCATGAATATATTTACTTACAGTGATGAGTATCTATTTTTGTTAATTGTGGTAAAGTTTGCCATTTTAAAGTACACTATTTCAGTTGCATTAAATATATTCACACAATTATACAATATTCACTGTCAGTTCCCCAAACTTTTTTGCTTTATCTTTTCTATGTAAATTTTAGTTTCTATCCCTGTACTTTATATTATTTAAAATTGGAAATGATGGTTTGTTTATTTTATTTTATTTATTTATTTTGGTTTTTCAAGACAGGGTTTCTCTGTATTTTGCACCTTTCCTGGAACTCACTCTGTAACCCAGGCTGACCTGGAACTCAGAGAGATCCACCTGGCTCTGCCTCCCGAGTGCTGGGATTAAAGGTGTGTGCCACCACCACCTGGTAGAAATGATGGTTTTTAATGCTTCTGCTTTTTAAGCCTACAGATGAATTTTCAGATCTGCCTCTTCGAGTGGCAGAGATTACTAAAGAGCAAAGACTTCGGAGAGAGAGCCAGTACCAGGAGAATCGCAACAGTGTGGTTGTCACAAATGGTGGAGGTAAACATGATACTGATGACATTTAAAGCCTTTATAGTTAGCTTGTTTTGTTTTATAACAGGCTCCCCTGTAGCCCAGGTTGGCCTTAAACCCCTTATGTAGCCAAGGATAACTTTGAATTTCCGCTCCTCCTCTCCAGCCCTGGGAGTGCAGGTGTGTTGCAGGTTTTGTAGTGCTGAGGATTGAACCCAGGGCCTTGTGCATGATAGGCAAGGACTTTACCAGCTGAGCCCAGCTCCTGCCTTAACTAGTGTTTGCGCATCTGTAGCTCCTTCACTCTGCTGAAGACTTCTGTTTATATATGACCAAAAAAAAAAGTTTGCCACTAGGATGAAAATTGAACTTCTCTGCATTTTCAGTTTGTAATTCAAATTCTTTCCCTCTCATGCTTATTTCAGGAGAATCTTTAGCAAGGACAGTTTATCTGGAGCAGATCTTTGTTAATCTTGATCTGGCTGCATTGTTCTTCTGAAGTAACATGTCTCTTTTTAAGAGTCTCCATTTTAAAGAGATTTCGTGAGCTCTTTCATCGATTGTGTTCCTCTGCTCGTGTTTGTTTTTAACTTTTAAAAATGGAGTTACTTGTTTCTTGGGAAGGAGTGTGCCACCACAGGCCTGATGAGCTTAGAGGACAACTTTTCTCTCCTTCCACCTTGCGGATCCCGGGGATCAAATTCAGGTCAGCAGGCCTCCACTCCAGCCCCTAACAGCCGGGACTGCAGGTGCATCTTCCAGGCTTCCTTAGTGTCCACTTTGTTTTCCATCGGAGTGGGGGTCTTTGGGACTTCTGAAGAGTTTTTCTTAGTCCAACACTTTGAACTTAGTGGTCGTTTTTATAAAAGAAACAGTTCTCTCTGCTTCCATGTACTTCTAAAGCACCTTTTAGAATCCTGTTCTGTATTCTTCCAAGTTGAATTTTAAAGCCTATTGTTCGGATTTTGAGGGCCAGTGCTGAGGGAGAAATTACATAGATTTTCTAGAAATGCATGTTTCTGAGAAGCAGTTTTATCTCTGATGATGTCAGGTTTTTTTTGTGGGGTTTTTATTTTTTTTTTATTTTTTTATTTTTTGTCCTCCCTGGCTTACATTCTTCTTTATTTCTGTCACTTACCATCCCATTTGTGTTTTAGTAATTGTATTTTAAATTTTACCCTCGTATGTACCATCATTTTATTTCAAACAACGTAATTTCCAGCCCCATGTGGTTATTAAGCATTTGAAATGTGGCATTTGGGAACTGGGGAAATGGCCTCCGTGTTTGTCTTAAAGTGCTTACTGAAAAGCACAGGGGGTGAATTCTACCCGAAGCACCCACATGAAAGTCAGGCATGGCAGCACAGAGGCAGGGAGGTCCCTCAAGCTCACTGGCCAGCTGCTTAAACCAAAAGGTGATCTCCAGGCTCCAGGAGAAACTCTGCTTCAAAAAATAAAGGGGAGCCCGACTAGTTTTATGATTTGCATTTGATCCCTGGAACTCACGTGATTGAAGGAAAGAACCAGTTTGTGCAAGTTTCACTCTGACTTGCACACATGTGCCATGGCGTATGTGTCCCTCCCAATTAGTAACTGTGACTTCTACATGGCATATGTCCCCCAACAATGCATGTGACCTCCACATGTATGCCATGGCATATGTGACACCCCAGTTAACTAACGAGTGTTAGAAAATGCTAGCTTACCTCCACGTGTGTACACACACGGGCACATACGCCCACATACACACTTGTACACGTGCCTGTACCACAGATACACCCAACATACAACTTTAAAAAGCTGAGATGTGGCTTTTCTGAATTGAGATATAACTACAAAATCTTCATCAAATTTTGACTGTGCTAATCTGGATAGTATAAAAGTGATGTTGCTTTCTTGAGAAATGGTCTTAACTATTTAATTGGACAAATTACAGCACATAGAATAAATGAATATATCAGATTTCTAATGGAATGTCACCTTACAGCCTTTCTATCCTTTTAGATCTTAGTAAGCTTGTAACACAAAATTCAACTTAATATAAACTGTAGTTCAGTTAAATCCAGTGTTCTGGCACAGTGAGACAGCATAAAACCATGGTTGGAGTGTAATGCATTGCCTGAGAAACGTCCTCAGAGCAAGGTCTTTCCTAGTGTGCCATTTAATGTAACAACAACAGACATCCAGAAGCTTCTAGGTGAAACCATTCTATGGCTGTGTCTTTCGTTGCTTCTCTTTCCTCTACAGTGTCTTTTTAGTGGAGTAGACATTCTCTTTAGTAAGTTATAAGATAAACTTTCCAGTCAGTATTTGATTTTTAATAAAGTATCTTGAGAAGAAAAAAATTCTTCAGATGACTCTCTTTCAGTCACAAATTGCTACAAAAATATCTAAAGCATTGACCTCCAGCAGTAATCTTCTGAATAGGGAAGTCTTTGTTCTCTCTTTTTTAAGTTTGAGCTCCAGGAAGGGAAGCAGTCAATAGGATTCTTCTTACCCCCTGTCTTTTGTTGTTTTCTGCTCTCTTTGGAGTTGACTGTTACATTTTCTGCATCTCTAACTAATGAGAGGCCACAGCCTTCTGTCTCTGAGCCCCAGCCAGCTTCTGTCCCCCAGACTCAGAGTGTCTGTTTAGAACACTACTGCACCATCCAGAGAAAATACAGGTCAGGTCTGCACTTCAGTGACTCACCCTCAGTTGGGCACTCTTGAGTGTATTGGACTAAGGTTTCAAGAGACAATTTTGCAAGGGGCTGTAGACTAAATAAATACTAAAGTCTTGTGTCACAGGACAGATACAAGGAAAGGGGAGAGTGTAATTTAAGCAAGGGTCTTTATTGGCTAATTGGCTATTTAACTTTGGAATCTCTCTCCCTCTCCCTTCCTT